TAAGATTACAGGCATTACTTCCCTTTAATTTTCCAACGCGTGTGACTTTTTGTCAGTGGTATCTTTAAAAAATTACACAAAATCCGCAATTTGAATCAATGATTCTGCGCACGGACGAAGCTAATTTTTCTCGAAATGCCATTCAGAATTTCCACAATAATTATTTGTGGGCAGAAGAAAATCCCTATGCCGTAACCGAAACCCGTTTCCAACACCAATTTTGGGTTAACGTATGGGCAGGCATTATTGGCAACCACTTTATTGGTCCATTCTTCTTGCCGGGACGACTTGACGGACAGATTTACCTCAATTTTCGTCAACAACAGTTGCCTTTGCTGCTTGATGATGCTCCGTTAGTTATAAGAAACAATATGTGGTACATGCATGATGGTGCACCAGCGCATTTCAGTTTAGCGGTTCGTAATTATTTACAAACTGTTTATCCAAGTTGTTGGATTGGCCGCGGTGGGCCCCAAGAATAGCCACCAAGGTCCCCAGACCTCAACAGTTTAGATTTCTTTTTGTATGGCTATCTTAAGACACACAAGTCCCATTAACATTGTAGAGGTATTAAGAGAAATAATAGTTGCAGCTTGTGATAGAATAAAAATCACTCCAGGGATATTTCAACGAGTGCGCAATTCCATGAGACGGAGGGCGGAAGCATGCATACTAAGTGAAGGGGGCCATTTTCAACAGTTTTTGTAATAATTTTGTTGGTTTTAATGCTATGTTTATGTTGTCAGTTGTTGTTGTTCATTACTCCTAATGTGTTTAATTTTTCCAATTAAATTAATAATAATTTTGCAAGTTAGACAATAGAACGGTTTTTATTTTTTTTTACTCAAAAATGGCGCGTCGAAGGAAAACAATTCAAGAGAGATCTGTTATTTTAAATTGAATTCAAAAATAATTTTTATTTGGCAAAAAACTATTGGCGTACCATCTTTTTCTTGAAAAATATCGAAGTCAATACGGGTACGGGCGCACGCCACTGTTAAAACTAAAAATTATTTTACCATTGAAAAATATGCAACATTATCAACTTTCAGTACGTACTAAATATCAGTGAAATATCCTAAGCGGTTCTGAAAATATTAATTTAATTTCCATTTTTTTTTTCTAAAACTTCAACACCCCGAGTTTTTGTAAGGAAACATTTTTGGACCATAGTTTATAAAGCAAACTAACATCAATTTTTCATGTAGATTCACACCCTTAAATATTCGCATATCATTAAGGAACGCCCTGTATAGAAGTTTGGTGGGATATGAGAAATCTTATAACAGTTATTAACATTTTGCGCTATCTTGACGGATAAGTGCTTTTTTGTATGTTAAAATAGCAACGTCAATAACACAAGCTGTTATAAGGTAAATCATATTTACTAACTAATTTGGAAAGGTTCAGAAGAAAAACATATAGTGCAAATACCTAAATATATATTTATTATATAAATCTCATATATTTTTCTACAAGCAAATCAGTATTAACATTATTATGGTCCAGATGTTTTCATTCCCCAGACTTCGTTGGCTCCTGCATAAATCAAAAATTAGGGAAACATTAATCAAATCCAAGCGGATAACCAAAATATCCGTATTATGTCCCGCGGTTATAATATGGTTCAAGATGACACACGGGATGATGACGTCAGTTACTCGAATCGCTTGAACGCTTTGGTTTTAACCGCGGTTTGTTGCAAGTTGTTTATTTTAGAAAAGCGGGTATATAATTTCTCATTATTTTTATTATCACTTAATAATCGGTGCTTTTTCGTCAACAACGGGGTATGGAAAGTTGAAAAAAAGAAAACTTTCATAATATTAATGGGAGGAATGTTTTTTTTTCAGAAAAATTTTTTTACTGATGGAACCATGGCTTTGTAGCTATGATAACTTTCAATTCTCTAAACTTTTCCGCATGTCAATGAAAATATTTATTGATTTAGCAGCAATGATGAAAAAGCGATGAAAAAAGATATTAACAAAACCGCATACAAGTGGACATCATCCAGTGAGTGTATACGGCCATATTTTAATATTTTTGTGGTATATTGCTATACAGGATACTTTGTTAAGCGTAGGAACTAGATTTAAAGTGTCCCCAACAACAGTAATGATTATAAATAATAAGGTGCTCTCTTATGCTAAAACTGAAGTCAGCCTATATCAAGTTTCCCAAAAATGAGCTGAAGTACAATAAAAATATCCAATACCCGGCAAAATTTATAAATTTTCACATGTCAAATAATAACCAGAAATATAAAACCACCCCCGAGTTGGGTAAATACCACAATTTTGCGGTGATAACTATGACATATAACAGCTGATTCATCACGTCACGGATCTTATAACCAAACTGATAACCACACTCGCTTGAACGGTTCGGTAAATACCAATCCAAAATGGTAAATACCATTCCATTTGGTTATCCACTTGAATTTGATTATTGAATTGTGTTGATATGTTACTACAATTCTGTTAGCAGGGCGCATTCAAAATAAGTGGACACGGGCTTTAACTTACTGAAGTTTATTTGAAAAAGAACTTAAGACTTACAACAACACAAGACTGATTAGCGGGCAACTTGTAACTGCTCATTGTCAATTGTTATACTGCTTGACATTTCATTAATACCAACATAGTTTACCATTGTTAACTTAACAAATTCACATTTCTTTTTTTTTTATTAGAACAATATTATTGTCCATGGGTACCTACAAGAATATTTTTATCAGGGGTGCTGATCATCATCAAGAGATAACTTTTTGTGAAATTGTACCTGCCGCCATAATTTTTTGACGAGGAGAGGTAGCAATTTTTTCAGAGGGGATAAATCCTCAAAAATACTCAAAGTTGTACACAAAAGCATGCTAGATATACAAATTTTAAAGTCAAAGCGAATCCCCAGGAGAGACCAGGGCCCGCTGTGGGCACCCATGTGATTGTTCAATAACAACATGTAGCTTCGATTTCATTGAAATAGTGAGCTTTGCATATCTGAGAATAGCTGATTTGAAATGAAGTATGAAAACTAACTTCGACAAAAAACAGTACAAATCATCACTGGTTATTGAGTCATATAAAAAGTTACTTATATTATGGTCTGCAAATATCCTTCAGAGCTGTGCCTTTTGGTTAGATCACAACTAATCTCCGCACTTCTGATAATGAGAATCTGGCTACTGACTGGTATCACTTTGGATCACCTTAAAGAAACAGTTTTGATTTGTAGTTTGTTTTATAGTATTTACAAATATATTACAGCTTTGTGTACTTACATTTTTATACTTCACAACTGAACAAAAGGCATACGTCTCAAATAACATAATAGGGACTTAATTGATGAACAGTGAAATGTTACGAAAATGACATGCTGAAAAAAGTATGGTTATTTTTGCAAAGCACAGGGCGAGGGCACGGCACAAGCATATATATCACAGGAAGAAACCCGCCGGAAATTTAAATCTGACCAATCAGACAACGCCATTTTTTGTTTCCCATTCGCCCATAGTAGTTTCACCCCCCTGCGGCAACACTTTTCTCGCCATGTTTTTGAGTTGACATACCGAGGTGCTATTGCCGTTGTCTACTTTCTCACAACTGTTATCTTTATTTGGTTGTTTTGAATGGTTTTCCTAATAGCAAAAATCAATTTTGCATTAGAAAAAACAATTCAAACACCTCACGTGTATTTGTGATTGGGTTCGTTCAAAAGTGATAAATAAAACAATATAATTGGGAAAATAACTTTATTATGGTAGATAACGTAATGTGGTGCATTTGCAATATAGTGGAATGAAGAATCAGAAACTCCAATGGGCGGTTTCTGAATAATAATTCCAATATACGATCATAAGGAAACTACCAAAAACGCATGATACCACACTCAACAAAAATTCAATAATAAAAATAGTGGAATCTGTATGTAAAGGGGACAAGATTTTGTTAATCAAATATATTATAATTCTTAATGAACATTAATGTGCAAAATTTAGCCTATATAATAATGAAAACAAACATTTATTTTACATCAGAAAAGCCTGTATGTATATGGTACAGGCCATAATATATGGTAATCTAATAACTCAACATGCAATTCTAAAAAATAAAATAAATCAATTCTATTACAATCTGGTCAAAATGTTGTCCTGATCAGGTATGTCACAGTCGGGTTAGTGATGGTTCATCCATAGTGGTACATGAAATAATTAAAAAACCAACTGCAAATATTCAAAAATGATTTACCTGGTGGCATTTAACTTTTCCATTTTCCTTGAATGACCATCAGATGTTTGAAGATCCAGTCTGATGCAACTGATAATAATATTTTTGAGGACATCATGAACATTGCATGACAGAATTTTCAAGCAGTTTCATCAGACCTGAACATGGGCAAATTTATCCAAAAAACTATACAGTTTTACATCGATAACATCTAGTAGATGACTTAGGGTTAACAATACCTTAGACCTTAGACTAACTAGTGGCGCTCCCAGGATTTCAGTCTGGGAGGGGTAAAACGGAAATTAAATTCTCAGTGTGACGTACTGAAGTGTTATAATGATTTAACATTAAAAGCATGGCCATATGCAGACATATGGATTTGCTTCAGTAACTTCTGTAGAAAATCCATACAATTAATTTTGAATCATACGAAATGAAAGTGTAAATAAAGCAAACCAAGCTCGTGCAATCTTCATATATTAAAACAAAATTACAAAATAATATAAATTATCACAGACTTTTCTACATAACAATGTCAGACAAAACAACAAAAAATAAATCTTCATGAAAAAAATAACAATAACAAATATGTTACGACTTTGATAAAGTATAAAACTGAAAGTAAATCAAAATAAAATGTTTAATCATGAGAAAAACACAAAAAATACTCATTGCATAACTACATTCTCTTAGCCAGTCTCAAAAAATAAAAACATATAAACTATGAAACTACATCAGTTCAGTCTCAAAATAAAACAATCATTATATTAGCTTAGAAAGTGATTTGAACAGAATTTTAACAGACTTTTATATCAATCTGCTGGCCAATATCTTGATTGGATACTTTGTAAAAGATCACCGTGGTGGTTTAAACGTAAGTAAACCCTTAACTACATCTGCTTTTTTATTTATTGGCCAACAGAAGGGAGATGGATTTGAGAGACAACCTTAGGCAAAGTTCAGGTGTTATCATATTACAAAATCAAGGCGCCTATTCTTTTTGTTGGCGAACCGATCTATGATTGTATTCACGCCTATTTTAATATCCCTATGCATATACAAAAGAGCTAAACCCACTAATCGCTCTTGTAACATAGTGGAGCGCAGCCAAGTTTTCATCCTCTTTAGATGGGAGAAACTTCTTTCAGATGTCGCAACACTAACCGGCAATGAAATCAATAATTGTAGGCATCTATTAATTGAAGGAAAAATGTTTTCATCATATGATAAATACAGTGACATTCCCTGTCTATAATATCTTGTGTACGTGACTTCCAAAGCTCAAATTCTGCTTTTAATCTGGTACTTATTAAGATTTTCTTTCGTTACTATTTAGTCCATGCAAATATTTAGAGATTGTTTCTAATATGTCCATTTCTTGAGCTTCAGTTTTTGAATTAAATACTGGCGCAAAGGAAATATTAAAATTGTATACATTCAAAGATTCTTCATTGAACCGGTATACCAAATCCTGTAATATATTATCTAGCAAAGGGACATATAGGTTCAGTCTGTAATGATGTACCTTGTCAGACGTAACAATGTTCGGTCTGTTGTTATTCTTGGCACAGTCAGTTCAATACTTAGGGTTTCATGTGATTTCATTATAGATGCGAATAGTATTCTAAGTGCCGATAATACAATTTAATAGACCATTATTCTGCACCAATAGGGTACGAGTACCAAACAGTCCGTCAAATATACTCAATCAGCCTCAAGCTCTCTTCTTATCACTAGGTGCCGATTTTAATGTTTCCGATATTAATGAAGACAAAGCCTGGGTGGCAGAAACTAATGATGCAACTATAGGTCTTACTGAGAGTACAGGTTTATGTATTTTTGGAAGTGCATGGAATTTAGGAGGGACAGAGTTATAAGTAGTCAAAGTTCCTTTTTGTTCTTGGGTTATTTGTCCAGTGCTGAGGAGTTCCTTAACAATGTCAATATTTTTCTTTTCCACCTTTGATGTAGGATATCTATTAATTTCGTGGTATGATAGATCATCATTGTCTTAACATTATCACTGTAACATTACCTTTGTCAGATCTTGTGACCATGAGTTCAGGATGTTGTTTTAGAAATTTTCTAGTTTTGTTTAAAATGTTCTGATAGAAAGAATGTTTTTTATTAAGATTTTTGTTGTGATAATAGTTAGTGATGAGGTTGGTGGAACGAGGTGTGTGTTTTTTCTCATAACAAAATAATAAATGTTTAATTCAATTATCCATCTCTTTACCAATATAGTTTGCTCAACTGCTTCTGGTCTGTTGGCAAGTTTTTATTTAACATATCTTGATAAATCACACCATCTAAAGAGATTTGGCAACATAGCACACATTATTACAGAAATTTTCGTTCCATCCATCGACACTGACACCACCAGCCTTCTGCCATCTGTCAAATGTTTCATCCTACTTATGCTCCTGTGCAACACCATTTTGAGCAGCAGGGGGGTGCAACTCATATTGGCGAATAGCTATGTCCACTCTGTACCTTTTAATCGTCAACTTTCGTCTTCATCTTTCTATTCGACTTTCGTTTAACGCTTACGATAAGTGAATGCGTTAAATGAAAGCAACACCATAGTTTAGTCGTAGTTTCTGTCATAATTTGGAAACATGTGCGACGAGAATATTTTACTTGGTGGAATATGTGCAGCTTACTTGGTCATCAGAAATTCCAGTAAAAAAAGAACCAAGAAAAAGTTTTGGATACGAGGTTATTATAATAATCGAAGTAACGTGATTATGAGTGAACTACGAGAAGATAAAGATATTCTTTTTAAAAATTTTACACGCATGTCCGAAAAAAAATTTGATTGACTTTTGAAATTGCTTAAACCAAAAATTACAAAGCAGTCAACCCAGTTACGTGAAGCTATACCTAGTGAAATAAAGTTAGCAATAACGCTAAGGTTTTTAGCTACCGGAGACAGTTTAATGTCCCTTTCGTTTTTATTCAAAGTATCCAAACAATTCATATCAGCAATGCTACCAGATGTATTAAAAGCCATAATTGAAGTACTCAAGGATTATATTAAGGTAAGTAACAGTTTCATTTATTAAAAAACACAACCATAATCATTTTTTAAATAGAACAAATTTAGAAATATTGCTAATATCTATAATGTTTGAATCAGCCTGTGTCTCCGGTATCTCCGTAAAATTATGTATCTCAGTCATATTCCGCATATCAGTAACATTATGTATCTCAGTCATAGTCTGTATCTCAGTCGCATTCCTCATCTCAGTTCCATTCCGCATCTCGGTAACATTATGCGTTGCTGCTGCACCAGTTATCTGTTGCATTTCCAGATTAAAGAGTATATTGTTTATGCGTTGTTGAGCTATAAGCCGATTAAATGTATTAAGGTTTCGAAATTTATGAGCTATCAATTGTCCATAAGTAGTGAACTAATCTTTTTGACTTAATTCTTCACTAGCTTTTTTCATAAAATTGTAAGCTTCCGCCTCTTTATCGTCAATCGTTGTACTTTTAATATTTCTCTTCTTTCTTATTGGTGGTAGGGTAAATTCATGCTCGTCTTCAGATATACACGTAAACTTCGAAGTCGCAGAGTTTTCTCTATTTAATATTTCAGCCGGCGTGTCCTGCAAAAAATATAAATCGTACTGAAATCCTTTTTTTTTGTTTGTTTTTACAGTTACCAACAAACGAGGAGCAATGGAAAGCGATTGCGAATGATTTTGACAAGCGATGGAACTTTCCACATTGTATTGGCGCCATGGATGGAAAACATGTGGTCATCCAAAGACCAGAAAATACAGTGGGCGAATTTCATAACTACAAAGGAACACATAGCATAGTATTGTTTGCAATTGTAGATGCAAACTATTGTTTTACATATGTTAATGTTGGTTGTCAGGGTCGTATTTCGGACGGTGGTGTTTTCAAATCCACTTCATTTTATAAGCAAATTGAAAAACACGAATTTAATTTACCAAATAGTGAACCACTACGTGGTAGAACCATGTCAGTACCTTACGTATTAGTTGCTGATGATGCATTTGCACTAAGTACCTATACTCTGAAACCATATTCAACCGATTTAAATGTGGGGTCACCAAAAAGAGTGTATAATTATAGGTTATCAAGGGCAAGACATATCGTTGAAAATCCGTTTGGGCTTCTCGCATCTGTATTCAGAATATTCCGTAAGCCCATTGAATTAAAAGTCGACAGTACTGTAATTGACGTTGTTTTGAGTTGTGTTTACATACACAATTTTCTACGAATGCAGACAGATTCTACACGGGATTACTGCCCTCCAGGTTGTTTTGATAATGAGGATGTAAGCACTGGAGAAATCATTACCGGGTCATGGAGACTAATAACTGCCGATGATAGCGGTTATAGGCCACTTCAAAGAATTCCTCGTAGGTCATCAAATACATCGAACCAAATACGAGATGAATTTATGAATTATTTCATGTCAGATATTGGTGCAATACCGTTTCAAACCCGACACTTATAACTATATACCTATCACATTTATTTTGTGGAAAAAGTAATAAATTGATTTGCCTAAATAAATATGCATTTTAAAATACCTTTTCATCCTCAGTAGTACTTTCTCCAGTTTCCCGCGGCGTCACCGAGTCAGCAGTGAATAAGAGTTGTTTGTAAGCAAACCACGGTGAAACATAAATCTCATCGGATCCAGCACCGCTCTTTTTCCTGATGACTTTTTGATGCTCTTTGGAAAAATACGAGCGAAGACTTTTTATCTTTTTTTTAACTCCATCGATATCCATTTTATATTTAGTAGCCAGAACTTGCAAACCATCGCTTCTCTTTACTTTATTTGTATAAAGTTTATTATTTGGATCCCAGAGTTGTGGAAAGCTTCTGTAATCTTCAATAAACTTTAATGTTAAATCTTTTTCTTCGTCCGCCATCTTGTTGTTGAACGCTATAAGGCACAGACATCCACCCGACGCCGGAAAACGTGTATCACAGCGCGCGCTTCGCTTTCAACTACCATCGCGCTTGCGTTAAAGGCATGCCTCACGTGCGCTGTTGACTGCGATATAGCGCATGCCCTTATTGAACAAAAAAGGCACAGTGTGGACATAGCTAATGGGAAACAAAGCAGTGTTGCAGATGCATAATATGACAACCATGTCGCACCCTCAAAAAATGGCGACTTATTCATAACTGACGTTGTCTGATTGGCCAGATTTAAATTTCCGGCGGGTTTCTTCCTGTGCTCTGTGCTTTGCAAAAATAACCTTACTTTTTTCAGCATTTCATTTTCTGATTTCATTTTAATTAAATAAAGTCCCTATTATGTTATTTGAGCCATATGCATTTTGTTCGGAGTTGTCAAGTATAACATTGTAAGTACACAAAGCTGTAATACCTATCTTTGTAAATACCATAAGACAAACTCCACATTAAAACATTCTTTTTTAAGGTGATCCAAGTGATAAGCCAGACTTCTGGCACATCCTGAGGAAGCAGCGGCTACTCATTTTAGGGATGTAATATTTGAAGATCGTATCTGTTTGTATCTCCACATCACTCTTTGAACAGTGGAACGCCACGAAAAGTTCAACAGCTGCCGTTGTCAACCCCTGAGGTCCTGAGAATTATCAGAAGCTCAGAGATTACTTTTGATCTAACTAAAAGGCTCAGCTCTAAAGAATATTTGCAGAACATAATTTGTAAGTTTTTATATGACTCAATAACTAATGATGATTTGTACTGTTTTTTGTCCAAGTTAGTTTTCATACTTCGCTTTAAATCAGCTATTGTCAGAGCAGTAGGGTTGATATGTAAAGCTCACTATAATTTTAACAAAATCAAAGCCAAGTATTGTTATTGGACAGTAACATGGGTGGCCTCAGGGGGGCTCTGGTAATAGTTATCTTTTGATGATGATCAGCACATCTGAGAAAAAATCCTGTGGGTGCCCGTGAACAATCATGTTATTGTTCTAATAAAAAAAGAAATCTGAATTGTAGTAACATATCAGAACAATTCAATTTTTTTCTAGTTTTTGATTTATGAAGGTGCCAACAAAGTCTGGGAAATGCAAACATCTGGACCATAATGATGTTGATACTGAAGAAAGAAAGATGTATGAGATTTATATAACAAATGTATATTTAGGTGTTTGCAGTATATGTTTTTCTGCTGAACCTTTCCAGATTAGTAAGTAGATACCTATGAGTGATCTTATAACAGCTTGTGTTATTGACGTTGCTATTTTGACATACAAAAAAATCATTTATTCGTCAAGAGAACGCAAAATGTTAATAACACCAGCTGTTATAAAATCTCCCATACCCCAACAAATTTCTATATAATATAAAAGTATAGCAATCTCAGATTTACTCGTATATGTAGAGCTGGCAATGCTGCGGGATATTAATGCACAATCTGGCAACCATGGCTGCGCCATGTTTTATATTGGTGTTTTATTTATTGAAACAATGGATGCATGAAGATTTATGCAAATCCTTTATTCAATGTTTTGGAGCGTACAAGGAATTGATCCTCAAGGAATCAATTATGTATAAAGTCCACCGGAATGTTTGCTCAAGGCTATCCAAATTAAAACCAATTTTCATTGTCGCTGGGGATGACAAATCAAACTATTTCAAATTTGTTGAAGGCTGGCAAATAACAGATCTGTTATGTCACTATGGAGGGATCTTAAGGAGAAGGGCTTGAAATATCTTTGTTTGAGATATTTAAATCAAGATTCCCTGGAAAATTTATTTGGTCAAGTAAGACAGCATGGTATCTTCAATACAGATCCCACCTGTCATCAGTTGTTGCTGTCTTAAAAACAGTGGTTATTAATAATTTCAGCACACCTTTTTCTAAAGCTAATTGTGAAATCGATTTTTGTGATACTACTGGTCGATTTCAGTGACTTTTTGGATACATATGACCAAAGTAATAATACAGCGCTTGATTTAGACACTGAGATTCTCAGTGACTCTGACATGGAATCCTTCAAATGGTTATGTGGCTGGGTACATTTTGGACAGACTCAAAATTGATAGCAATTGTGAATCCTGTGCAACGTTATTCTCTTTGGTTGTCACTGAAAAACATCTATTTGTGACGTTTAAAGAGCATGATGAGGAAATGCGATTGAAGTATGCAACTGAAGATTTAATTAACATGATTGGTCTTCTGGATGGAAAGCTGTCTGCATTTATAGAGCAGCATGGTACAGACCAACTGGAAGTTAAATTTAAACGGAAGTATTCCTGCATCCTTCAAAAGTATAGCTTTTGTCAGCAGCATGATGTTGCAAAAGGTATAATTGAAAAAACTGCTCGGTTGGGAATTTAGAAATATGCAAAGAGAAATTCTTTGAAAAGGAGTGGTGAGACTACTAAAAGTCATATATCAACAAATAAGAAATTCAAAACAGCTTAAGTCAGGTAATGTTTTTTATGTAGTCCAGCACTCTTCATTCATTAAATTTTGTATTTACTTTCATTAACCAAATACTACTGTGATATTATACCTATACAATAATCAAATTCAAGCGGATAACCAAATGGAAATGGTATTTACCATTTTGGGTTGGTATTAACCTTTAACATGTCAATGGTATTTACCAATCCATTCAAGCGAGTGTAGTTATCAGTTTGGTTATAAGATCCGTGACGACACGAATCAGCTGTTATATGTCATAGTTATCACCGTAAAATTGTGGTATTTACCCAACTCAAGAGTAGTTTTATATTTCTGGTTATTATTTGAAATGTGACAAGTTAGAATTTTGCCGGGTATTGGATATTGTTATTGTACTTCAGCTTCATTTTTGAGAAAAATGATACAGGCTGACTTCAGTTTTACCATAAAGTGGAGCACCTTATTAGTTATACTCATTACGGTTGTTGGGGACACTTTAAATGTAGTTTCTATGCTTAACAAAGTATCCTGTGTAGCCATATACCACAAGAATATTAAAATATGGCCATATAAACTCACTAGAAGATATCCACCTGTATACGGTTTTGCTAATTTCTTTTTTCATCATTTCTGCTGAATCAATAAATGTTTTCTTTGACATGCGGAAAATATTTTAGAGAATTGAAAGTTATCATAGCTACAAAGCCATAGTTCCATCATTAAAAAAAAAATCTGAAAAAAACATTTCTCCATGAATATTATGAAAGGTTTCTTATTTAAACTTTCCATATGCAGTTGTAGACGAAAAAGCACCGATTATTAAGTGATAATAAAAATAATCAGAGATTATATACGCGCTTTTCTAAAATAAACAACTTGCAACAAAACCGCGGTTAAAACCAACGCGTTCAAGCGATTCGTGTAACTGACGTCATCAACCCGTGTGTTATCTTGAACCATATTATAACCGCGGCACATAACACAGAAATTTTGGTTATTCGCTTGGATTTGATTAATATTTCTTGTTTTGTTTCATGGTTGCAACATCCTTGGGAGGGAGCAGTTGGACGAAGAATAATTATTTATTTTGTTACTTGTAATGTTAAAGCCATCAGGAGCTTTTGGTTTTAAGTATGAGGAATGTCTCGTTTATTTTTAACTTTGATTCCTTCTTCGAAGAAAATAAAAAATAATGTTTCAGTGATAAATATACCTCATGATGGATTAACAATAGGTAGTGCTTTCATCATCTTGCTAAACACTTCCTTTGATTACTGAGGGTCCCTTTTTATCGTTTTTATGCTACTAATGTACGATTTGTGTTTTTTTCCAGGAACCCTATCTGAGAAACGGTTCAGTAAACGGGCTCAGTGTACCGGGCTATACGCTTTTTAGCGATACTCTGGACACTAAACCCAGAGAAGAAGGAAGGCACTGACAGGGACCTGGTCGTATGTTCGGCTTATCTTCCTTACGATTCAAGAGAACCTTCTCCGTCTAAGGAACTGGGGGGCCTTGTCGCATTCTGTAGGGATTCCGGACTAGACCTCGTGATTGGATGCGACAGCAATGCCCATCACGTCATGTGGGGCAGCTCGAACACCAACAGACGGGGCGAAGACCTCATGAAGTTCCTAGGGGCATCGAAACTTGAGGTTCTGAATGTCGGTAACACGCCTACTTTCAGCAATAGTGTCAGAGAAGAGGTTATCGACGTAACACTGGGCACGCTCAACTTAGCTCAGGATATTAGGGACTGGAAAGTGTCTATAACACCCTCTCTATCGGATCACAGGTATATACTGTTTAAGACTGATGGAGAGATTCCGGATAAATATGCTCGGAATCCTAGGCATACTAGATGGGGGTCCTTCAGGGCAGACCTTGACAGTAAGCTTGGAGCGATCCCATAGAGACTTTGTAGGGGCTCTGACATAGAAGCAGCCGTCGAGTCTCTGAGCAGGGACTAGACGGCTTCATATGAGTAAAACTGACCGTTACGCAAAGTTCAAGGTAAGGGCAAGGCAACCTTCTGGTCCAAAGAATTAGAGCATAGAAAACGAGCGGTGCACAAACTTGTTAGCAGAGTTAAGCACAGGAGAAGTTCTCCTCTATGGGAAGACTACAAGAAGGAGCTGCAGGAATACAAAAAGGAGGAACTTCTGTGAGTCCATAAATGACATTCCTGCTACTGCTAGAATACACAGGATCCTAGGCAAAGACATTAAAGCAAGATTGGGATCTCTGTATGATCCCTCGGAAGGGAACACTACTTCTGAGGAAGTTACTCTGAGGCTTCTGATGGATACGCACTTCCCCGGTTCCACAGTAGCGCGATCAATCATACAGTGCATGCAGTTGCGCAGGAAGATTGTCACCTTCGAAAGGACGGTATGGGCGATAGATTCGTTTGCTTCATACAAAAGTCCAGCTCTGGACGGCGTATTTCCGGCCATGTTACAGAGGGGAAGGAGTTCGGTTGTTCCTCATGTGTTGAGGTGTTTCGAGCATGTGTGGCCACGAGCTTCACACCTAGAAGCTGGCGGCAGGCTAAAGTGGTATTCTTTCCTAAACCGGGCAGAGCTAGATATACTGGCCCGAAGGATTTTCGTCCGATTACTCTTTCATCTTTTGTGCTTAAGACATTGGAAAGGATAGTTAAAAGATACTTAAGGGATGGCCCGCTGGAAAGGTGTGTCATTAGTGCAAATCAGTTTGCATACCAAGCTGGGAAATCGACTGATCTGACCTTACACAATCTGGTCTTTAGGCTGGAGAAGACTCTAGATCAGCGAGAAGTGGCACTTTTTTCACATTGAAGATGCATTTAATTGCACTACAACCGACTCTATAGTGGATACCAAATAAAACCCGATGCACGTCATCGATCTGGAGCTGTGCGCTGTTGCCAGAATTTGCACATTTTCTTTTAAGCAAATAAATTTAATAAAATAAATTGTTTATATATACCTACCATTTACTATAATACCATTACATTAAAAATAAATAAACTTGTTGTAAAATTAAATTCCTTTCTGAATAAAAACACCTGATTTTGGTAGTTATTCAATGATATGAGCTCTTTACATCGACTGTTAAGTTGTTTTGGCATTTTGGATACTTTACACCACTTCACAGTAACTGTTGTTCTGAAAAGAACAATTTTTAATTGGCAAGGCAACGATTCAAAGCTCAAATAGCGCAAAACTCACAAACTAAACAATAAAGAACTAATAGTACGACAAAAGGACAATGGCAACTGATGTCAACAAATGAGAAGTGGCAACCTCACATTTCTCTGCACGGCACTACCAACCGAATCGAGACGGGGAAATTTAAACTTCAAGTAGAAATGTCACATTGAATGTAGTCAACTGTTGGTAACCATGATTTTTATGAATGACATCACCTATGACGTGCATCGGGTTTTATTTGGTATCCACTATATCAGACATGCCTTGGTTAGGCACGGGGTTGGATCAATCCTAATAGATTGGGTCCTATCTACTATGGAGGGTCAACTATGCTGCAGCGTCAGCGTAGCTAGAGGCTGTCATCAGGGTGGAGTTCTGTCACCCCTACTGTGGTGCATCGTGGTGAACGAACTCCTCGTTATGCTCAGCAGTGCAAGCCTATGCTGATGACTTAAGCACAGTAGTTAGGGGACGTTTTTGTATAACAGTCTATGAAATTATGTAGGGCGCTCTGCGCTCTGTAGAATCGTGCTGCAGGGAAGTCGATCTTTCTGATAATACTGGAAAGACCGAGATGATCCTATTCACTAGGAGAAGAAGGCTTGACGGGCTGGTCATGCCGACCTTCTTTGGGACTAGATTAGTTTTGTCCCAGTCAGTGAAATATCTGGGAATTATCCTGGACTGCAAACTGAACTGGAGAGAGCATGTGGAACACAAGGTTATCAAGGCTCGCAATTCGACGTGGGCTTGTAGACGTGTTGTCGGTGTAAGGTGGGGGCTTAAACCCAAAGTGGTATACTGGCTCTACACAACGATAGTACGTCCATCTCTCTTGTACGGCTCCCTGGTCTGGTGGCCTTGCATTAGAACTGAGTCAACTAAGGCCAAACTCAATAAAATTCAGCGTTTGGCCTGTATTAGCATTACAAGCGCAGTGCGAACAACGCCATTGAGTGCAATGGAAGCTCTGTTGGATCTCCCACCGTTGGATCTGATGATCCGCGGTGAAGCGAGAGTAGTCGCTCATCGACTGTGGAGTCAGGGCAGCTGGGCTTTCTTGAATCCGGTCAAGGGGCATACTGCCATATTAGTCGAATTAGAAAGGGAGGACCCCATCCTTCTAAGCAGGGGTGATCGTATTACCCCTAAATATCGCTTTAACCGCAAGTTTATTGTGGAGTACCCAACGAGGGATGAGTGGGACGCCGGTAGCCGAGGACTCTCCGAAGTGAGCGGGCAGGTCTGGTACACGGACGGCTCGCTCACCGAAGAGGGCTCAGGTGCTGGGGTCTCTGGTCCTAGAACTAGGCTATCTCTGCCTCTCGGTGAGTACACCACCATTTTCCAGGCGGAAATCTTTGCGATTCTGGCTTGTGTATCTCACATTCTGGAGGAGGGTGGGCCTAGGAGAAGAATAACAATCTTATCCGACAGCCAGGCTGCAATGAAAGCACTAAGTGCATGTAAGATTACTTCGAGTCTTGTATTGCAATGCAGAGAGGCTCTGGATTGCCTCGCAGCGAGGCATCCGGTATCGTTAATATGGGTACCGGGGCACGCTGGGATAAGGGGCAATGAGACGGCGGACACTCTGGCGAAAACAGGATCAGCCAGCAAGCTCGTTGGTCCTGAGCCAGCTCTAGGAGTAACCGCGCATAAAGCTAGGAGGAAAATGGAGACGTGGGTTGCAAGACAACACTCTCAGAAATGGAGAAGTATCTCTAGACATCTCCGCCAGGCACGAGAGCTCATTGAAGGGCCCAGTGCTAAGGATGGACGCTTCTGCCTATCTCTGGGTAGAGCCAACCTAAGGTTGCTGGTGGGACTGTTGTCTGGCCATAACACGTTAAGGCGGCACCTGCACGTGATGGGGGTGGCTGAGGATCCCTTGTGCGAACGCTGCTGGGCTCTGAGCTACTATAGGCAGACTATACTGGGGTCCATTACTTTGGATTGTGCGAGGCTTGTGATCTAAGGAATGTAGAGATGCCTAAGGGCCCGTTTAAGCGGCCTATGCACTGGCTCCTTATGCTGACCGGAATGCCTCTAATTTCACGATTCATTCATTCATTCAAGCTCCCGATGTCTAAAAATACCTTTATATATTGTCAATGTACTGGGATGATAAATTATTACTTATTATCATTCATATATTTAACTACTTAATAAATATTTTATTAATTACGCATTTACTTTTTAATATCCCAAAATTGGTTACCAGCAAAACTGCTGAATCAGGTATTTCCTTTATTGAGGATATTTTATACATCTATGCTCATAAAATATTTCTTCAATATTTGAAATATCACTTTCAGCAGATTTTAAATTATAAACTAAATCCTCGGCACATTCCTAGCATTCCTAATCTCCCGGCGCATTCTTTGAATTCCTTCGATAGTTCCTCCAGATCTCCATGCAAGTAGGCGGCGCAACCATCTGACAAAACGTCAACGGTGTTGCCATTGTTTAATGTGCAGCTCCCACTTCTCAGTCTTATGTGTTTTGTGGCGCTAGTCAGGGCAAAACATCGTGGTCCATTGTGGTATTTCCATATATGTTCTAATACCGGGTTTACATGCAGCCACTACCGCTGCCACTCGCGCTGCCCACTGTCGTGAATAATTCCACGGCAGCATTTGGAGCAAGTGACTGTTTACATGCAGCCACCCTACTAACCGCACTGTTCTCCAGCAATAATGGAGCACGTAGAAATTGTCGCGGCGACAGCGCTCTGTGTTTTGAGTTTGCAAAACTATATATGCATCAAATGCAAACCAAATTGGCTGACATACCTCATCTGCACCCACTCTAGAACTAATCGAAGCGTTTTTCTTTTTTAATAGCGGCCGAAATGTTGTCATTCGCGTTTTTTTTTCGACTTAAGCTCTTGAATTGGGATGTTTGTTTAATCCTTCGCTTATCCGTGCCAACGCATCATGTACTTTTTTTTGTGATCATTATGTGAAGTAGAGTTGGGTAGTTCCTGAACGAACTAGTTCAAAGAACCGGCTCTGATACGTGAACTAGGTGAACTAGTTCGGCAGCTTTCAGAAAAACCGCTCACCCGCTCACTCGCTCGGTATGCGCTCCCCTCTCACCGGCTCACTGCTCGCACGCTCGCACCTCGCAGCCGCAGTCTGTCACAGCTGGGCTGGGCTCGCCGGCTCACCGCTCTGCGCTCTCGCTCTCAGAATCAGTGGACAATGGATGGCGCGCTCTCGATCAGATGTTTGATTTAAACTGAGCAACGGTGTGCAAAGATGCACCCGAACGAACACGACTGACGGGCCGCGCAAATTTTTTGAAAATCCTTCATTGTCAGGCCTAGCGATTTCCGAATTTTCCTTTATAAACATTCAACATAAATTAATGTTTTTGTTGGCAATTGAATGAGCAGTAGACTTGCTTCTTTCTGTGAAACATGTTATTATATAAATGAAATGTTTGAATGCTATGCTATGCGTCCGTCTTATGACATGCATAGAGTTTTTAATTTATTGACATTATTACCGATTTTTTAACCATTTGCAGTATTATATGGTTAGTGGAATTATTTATCTTTTGTTTATTTTTTGTTGTTTATATGTTCTTTGTGTTTGATACTTTAGTAAAATACTTTTTGTATTTTTTATTTCAATTTGTATTGTTATTTTTGCAGATTTTTTTAGTTTATTTTGAAAATTAGTAAAGAGATATGCACTTTCACTGGTTTTTAATACACGTTTTTTACGATAAATATCAAATCATTTTTCCATCAAAATAGATGTATGTATTCCATATATTTTTATCCAATGTCCAGGACTGTTTGGACAAAAATTTATGGAATATATGTATTTTGGTGGAATATATATATATATATATATATATATATTCCACTGTAGCTACATGGATCATAGATCTTCCTCGTGTCAGTGAACTACTGAACTAAAAGAGCGAACTAGTTCACTTCAGGTGAACTATTATGCCCAACCCTAGTGAAGCATCCCATAATAATTATTCAGCCACCCACGTATAGCTCTAAAAACTTCAATACTTGATCACTGCTCCACTCAATCATGGTTAAAGTGTATTTTTGAACGAATAATTTGCCAAAAAAGGAATAAAGTAGGTTAAGATACCCTGCGTGGACGTCGTAAGGACAGGACTGACTGTTGGTACAGCGGGCAGCATGTAAACGGTCGCTGCCGCTTGTGCTGCTGGTCCAAAAAACCGAGAACAAAGGGAGCATGTGGTAGCGGCACGAGCACTGGCAATGCGAGCTACGTATTTACATACTCGCGCTGCCCACTTCCCTGCTCACTGCCGTGGAAGTGGGCTGCATGTACACCCGGTATAAGGATTTTTGGTGAATGTTTGTTTTTAGTGACGTTAAAGATTAATAGTAGTAGTTTGCAACAATAAACGCAGAAAAGATGTGAAAATGAAGTTTCACAGGTTGGTTTTAATCATCTCATTCATTTTTGTGTGACAGAATTACCTGTTAATAGGTAATTCGAGAAAATATCTGCATTTTTAGAATACCTAGAGATTTTAACATGAGGAAGTTGTGGTTACATGCTATAAGAAGAGAAAACTTTACTTCCAGTACAACAACGGTAATTTGTGGAAAGCATTTCACTCCAGAGGATTATGAAGTTAATGTTCATGGAAATAATGTGCTCAAAAAGTCGGCAGTTCCATCTGAGTTTGATTTTCCAGCCCATCTCAAGAAAGAACCTAGACATCGAAGGGTTTTAAAAAGAAAACATGGAGAATCCAACTCAAAAGCAACAGGTATGTCCTTTAAAATATTCCGAGTCTAGACTTGAGGTTTTAACTTTTCTACTTTTAAAAAAAGATATTTACAATGATGCAGTGGGTCTTAGTAACGTTATTATTTTTAGAACAAACTTCGGATATTGGTGAAGTAGAAGAAGAACCTGAAAATGGCGATCATGTTGATGATTGAAATATATTGGCAGCTGATCCGTCAAACGTAACACAAAAACTAGGATTTTTAGAATCAAGTGAACCTTCAAACATATGCAATTTAAGGTAAGTGTCGTTGAACTTTGAGTTTCTCATTTGTTAGAACCTTTTTTTGTTTGTAGATCATAAGATCCCCCCATAGCACGAAATATTCATTATATATTTATTTAATATTTAATTTTTTTATGTTACTTAAATATTTGTTTTCTTAAACAAATATTTAATAAATATTTGTAATATAATATTTTTATTGAATATTTATTCAATGTCTTTTAAATATTTTAAATACAATATTTCTTTTATAATATTCATTAAATATTTACTTTTCAATCAATGGGAAATATTAAATCTCCAATATTTAGAAAATATTCATTAAATATTTTCGGCTACGGTGCATGTGCGTCTCGAGCGACCAATAGGATAATAGCAAGCAGGCCTGAGGCGACCTGTTTGCCGGCAAGCCGGCATTTATTTTACGTGTGACTTTCACTATGATAGCGTGCTTTCTGTGTACCTCCAAGTGGTTCATTATTTCAGTGTTTTTTTGTAGAAAAGGGTAAGTTTTTCGATATTACATAGCATAATTTAATTAACTAGTAAACATTATTGTGCCAGCTGAGTATAATGGCATTCACAAGACCATAAATAACTAGCCGTGAAATGGAACAGTTATTTGGTATTGATGGATTTATCTGAGAATGAAAAGGAAAATTATGTTCATAAAATTCCAATGAAAAGACATATAATCGCAACTTGATCGAGATACATCAAAAATGATTTTTTAAATATCTCAATTATTATTGTCGTAGTATATATGTACGTTCAAAATTTTTAACAGTCGAAAATGCTATGCTTTTATCCATTGAATTATAATATAAAATCACAAAATAGTAATGGCTAAGTTAGCTCCGTTACTAAAAAAATCAAATTTCAACAAAATCAATAAGTGGTGTATTTTCAAAAACCTTTTCTTTAAAATTTAGTCAAAGGATCAAGTTGTGCCCAAGCACATTTTTCATCAATATATCTAAAATAACATACCAAATTTTCTTAAAAAATAACCAAATCTCGAACTATCATAGACAGAAAATGTGGGGTCCTTTTAGTTGCATTATAGAGCTGCTTTTCAGAGACCCAGTTGAGCTACTCGGAGTAACTTACCATGCTCAGCACCAATATTGTTCCAATGCATTTAATATTCCCATAAATACACTGGAAAGCAGCATATGTATTCAATAATACTTCATGATTAGTTAGTATTTTTTTCAGAGGAGTGGACTTGCAAGATGCAGCAGAGGCTTAGAATGTTTTTTTAATAATATTTTTCTAGCAAATTAAACCTTTATATCAATAATGAATTTTCTTTATAAACCCAACTTTATATAAGCATTCCATATTTACGAATAATATTAGATATTTCACCAAAATATAAAATTGATATTTAAAAATTTTTCCTCATATATTTTCTAAATATTTTAAAAAAATATCGCAAAAATATATGCTATCGGGGTCACCAGTATACTTTGGGGATTTCAAAATTTCTGATTTAAATAATGTGCAGTGTCGGAAGAGATTTTGGAAAACTGCTCATGAAAGTGTTCGTAAGTACAAAAAAATTAACAAGTACAATCAGTGTAAAATTCGTAGACAAAGAAATAAAATAAAAAGTCTAAATAGTCTGGTAGATGAACTAGTTAAGGAGAAGAGAATATCTTAGTCAATAGTATTGAAGGTAGACATTTGATGAACAGATGGTTTGATCCTACAATAATTGTTACCTTGTTGTTCTTTATTTTCGTTTGTAAAATTTTCATTTCAATTGTTGTACTCTGTTGAATATCTATTGATTACTAGCTAGAGTGATCATTTTACCATCACAGTATTTAGGTTTTACATTTAGTGCATGAAATTTTTAGCTTAAAATTATGATGCATGCATACATTTTGTTTTTACAGGAAAGTCTCCCAGAAACCTAAAAGCAACTGGTTTTCAGGCAGTTGAAAAAAGGAAAATCGAACAAGTATAGCCCAGTATTAAGGTGTTTTGCACTAACATTGAATTTTTACTCATCATCAGCATACACCTATGTTAGAAAAATATTTAGAAAAAAGTTCTACCACATCCACGCACACTTTCAAAATGGTGTTGTGGATGGTACACCTGGATATAGTGCAGAAGCACTTCGTGCTATCAAAATTAAGGTGGATGTTGATAAACCAAAGGGAAAACAGCTTGTTGGTGCCTTGATGATGGATGAAATGTATATTCATCAGCATGTGCATTGGACAGGAAGTAGATTAGTAGGCTACATAAATATTGGTGTTGCAATGCAAAGCAGTGAGGAGATCCCAAAGGCTACAAAAGCTTTAGTTTTCATGGTTGTTTATATTAACAGTAGATGGAAAGTTCCAATAGCATATTTTCTAGTAGAATCTTCGTCGGCTGAAGAAAAGGCTACCTTTGTGAGGGTCTGCTTACTGCAATTAGAAAGCATGTTAATTAAGAGTTTGACTTTTGATGGTGATTCATCCAATATCCTTATGGCCAATTTATTAGCTGCAAATTTGACTTTTCCATGTACTAAGCCTTTTTTCATAAACTCTCTCAATAATGAGAAAATACATATAATATTAGATGCTTGTCACATGATAAATGTGTTTGCAATACTTTAGGTGACTATGGTGTTTTAAAAGATGGTGGAGGGAATGACATTATGTGAGAATATTTCAAACAGCTTGTCAACCTTCAAGAGGATTGTTAGCAGGGCGCATTCAAAATAAGTGGACACAGGCTTTAACTTACTTAAGATTATTTGAAAAAGAACTTAAGGCTTACAGCGAGACAAGACTGATTCGCGGGCAACTTGTAACTGCTCATTGTCAATTGTCATACTGCTTGACATTTCATTAATACCAACATAGTTTGCCATTGCCAATTTAACATACCTCCTCAATGGCAACTTCGCTAGAACATGTAACACCTAATTCGTCACAAAACCTGTCAAACTTGATTCTACCAAGTGGCTTTGTGAATACATCTGCCAACTGATCCTGAGTGCTTACATATTCAATATAAACAACTTTCGAAAAGATCTTATCTCTAACAAAATGTACTCTTATGTCTACATGTTTCAACTGATGATGAAACTGTGGGTTATTACATAACTTTATCACTGACTGATTGTCCTCACAAATTTTTACTATTGCTGCCCTCACTTCCAAATCACTCAAAAGATTTCTGAGCCAACAAGCTTCATTTGTGGCCATACTTAAAGCTACATATTCAGATTCAGTGGATGACAGAGCTACTGTTGACTGTTTTCGTGAGCTCCATAAGACAGTAACGTCGTAAACTCTAAAAACAAAACCACTAGTTGATTTCCTATCAACTCTGTCACCTGCCCAATCTGAATCAACATATCCAATAATACGATTTTCAACAATAGTACTTTTCTCGAATCTTAAACACACGTTCAAAGTTCCTTTTACATATATCAATACATGTTTCAAAGCAATCCACAAGTCTTGACTTGCACATGATTGATATCTACTTAATATGCTAAGTGACAAACATAGATCAGGTCTTGTACATAACATTACATAAGAGAGCCAATGAGCATTCTACACTTTCTTTCAATAAACGCTACATTCATATTTCTCCCTCTTTAGAATGCTGTGATCAAAATTTTCTTGCATGGGAGTTGACAAAGGTTTACAATGCTTTATATCAAATTTCTCTAGTATACTTTCTAAATAAGTTTTCTGACTCTAAACAGTAGTATTTGTTTTCAAATCTTGAATAATTGACATTCCTTGAAAGTGACGTAAAGCACCTAAGTCTTTCATTTTGAAATAACTACTTAACTGTATTGCTTTCACTTCGATGTGATTTGAAAATGCAACAAGTAAATCATCAACAAATAGTAATATATAGGTTTTACTACTCTAGCATAGTTGCATGAAACCTTTTGTTCCAACTTTTTGGTGATTCTTTTAACCCATACAAAGACTTCTTCAGTTTCAAAATAGGTTTCATATCAGGTGGTTCCAAATCTTGACAACCATAAGGTAAGTAAATAAATATGTTGCCTACAACATCTCCATATAAGAAGGCGCTACATACATGTAGCTGAAAAATAGGTATACTATGATAGTTACAAAAAGCTAGAAGTACCCTTAAAGTAGTTAATCTTGCTACAGGACTATACATATTTAAAGTATCTACCTCACACTGCGGAAAACCTCTTGCTACGAATCTCGCTTTATAAGTAGTAATCTGTCCATTTTCATTTTTCTTTTTCTTGAATATCCATTAACAGTCTATTACCTTGCAGTTATCTGGTTTCTCCACGTAAATCCAAGTTTGATTTTCAAATAAAGCTTGCTTCTCTGTCTCTATTGCTTTCTTCCATTCTTCCTGTTCTTCACCTGACATTGCTTCCTCATAGGTTGCTGGCTCTTCATTGCTTAATGTCAGCAAACTTACATGGTAATCATCAAATCTTGTAGGTGGCTTTAATTTCTTTATATCTCTCATCTCTCTTGTGTAGCTTTGACTTGTCTCAGTTTCCATAATGCCTCTTTCGCTGCTTGCTAACTCAGTTCTCTCATGAAGTTCATTTTCATCTACTATGGGTTCCTCTATATCTTCAAAATCTGAAACATTCTTTTATTCTGCCATATATTCTGATACACACACATTTTCACCCTTATTTTCATTTATTGCTTTTGGTAGAAAGATAATGTCCTTTAAAACTTGTACTTTGCCACTCTTAGGAAAATACACTCTAAATGTATACTATTATTCGCGCGTACCCACTAACGACGAGATGTAGCTGGCGAGTTAGAACCTGCAGATTTGATGTGTACGAAATTATTATCGCGCCGTATCTGCCTCGTCATTACCCATTAACGCACCGATATCTTTACGAATTTGGCTTGCCACGTATCAGATATGACAGATAATCCGCCCGTGTATGGGCCACTATTGCAAATTTGGATAAGCCTTAACGTCGTACGTCTCAGCATTCTGGTCGTACTCGTGACAGAAATCGTTGTTATTTTGTTCGATAAAGTCGTCGTATGGTGTAGGCGTATAAGCAGAGTATTGAGTTTCATACTCGCTGGCATAATCGGTATTATATAGG